GTGCCCCCTCAGTTTTGACTTCCTGGCGCCGGGCCTGCTCACATTGCTAGGTAAACAATTCAAAATATTATAGGAAATAATCTGAAAAATACTCTATTTAGATATACTTTAGAAAATATTTGAAAACAATTAACAGGAGGGTGAATACATTTGACTTCAATGGAAACTACCTTTGAGGTAACATTCATTCATTCATTCATTTTCTTGTCGGCTTAGTTCCTTTATTAGTCCGGGGTCCAAACTTATCCAGCAAGTTTTTATGCAGCAGATGCCCTTCCAGCCACAACCCATCTCTGGGAAACATTCACACACACATCCATACACACACTTATACACTACAGACAATTTAGCCTACCAAATTCACCTGTACCGCATGTTTTTGGACTGTGGGGTTAGGTTTCTCATTATTATTCATAGCGGAGTTTTCTTATCCTATGAGAAGAGCCGGCTGCTTAATTGTTCATGAGAGCACGCGCTTTCCGAAGGCAAGACAGACCTGCCAGTGCCAAGCTGTGAGATCCTACCTTGATGACTTGGTGAAACCGCGTCCACGGACCAACGGCACACAGTTATTAGCGGTTCATGAAGGGTCGTATGTGTTTGTTTCCATCATCCACGGGGTTTGTTGCATGTTTTTCCCCGCGATGCTGTCAGGGCGGAGACAGCAAAGCTGTTTGTGTCCAGCAAGCATTTTTGTCGGGAGAGCAGTGAGAATTGGAGAATGGCGGACGTTGTCTTTTATCAGGAGTTCGTTTGAAACTGTATCGAGACCACCTCTTCAAGCAGGTCTCGGTATGTTTTTGGTCCGCTTTTGGTGCTCACTCGAGTATGATTGCTGCATTCACACCTGCCAAAACTAACCGCATCAAGAGGGAAAATGAACTCTAGTGCGATTCAACCAGACTAAATAACGCAGGTGTGAAAGCACCCTAAATTATTTACTAAAGGAGATACATGTTGTAATATGTCGTTCACTATAAAGTTCACTATTCAAACAATCAAGATTTCAAGATACAGAATTTCAGTGTGTAAAGGACAAGGGTGCAAGCCTAAGCTGAACAACCGTGATCTCCGATCCCTCAGGCGGCGCTGCATCAAGAATCCTCAGTATATATGATTTAATGAAATGCGTATTATGCATAATAAATATGTATACTTAATTTATTTAAATAAAATTATATGTGTTTAAATTCTAAGAAAATCAAAGGTATTATGACTAAAAGCTGACTGGTTATTATTTATTCATTCATTTTCTTTTTGGCTTAGTCCCTTTATTAATCTGGGGTCACCACAGCGGAATGAACCGCTAACTTATCCATCATATGTTTTAGGCAGCGAATGCTGTTCCAGCTACAACCCATCACTCTCATTCACACACACACACACACACACACACACACACACACACACACACACACACACACACACACACACACACACACACACACACACACTACGGACAGTGTTTTAGCTTACCCAATTCCCCTAAAGCGCATGTCTTTGGACTGTGGGGGAAACCGGAGCACCCGGAGGAAACCCACGTGAACATGGGGAGAACATGCCAAACTCCATACAGAAATGCCAACTGACCCAGCCGAGGCTCGAACCAGCAACCTTCTTGCTGTGAGGCGACAGCACTACCTACTGCGTCACCACGTCGCCACTGGTTATTATATATTGTTAAATACACGTAAAATGCAAAGCGGCTGAACACACTGAAAGCGATTTCCTTTTCTGAAAATGCGAGGGGCACCGCACTGCCTTTTTGTTGAAAAGAAAAACAGAAGTGTGCTGCACTTTTTACGTTGCTAGGCAACCACTGATTCAGCTCTGTATTAAGCGTGACCGCTGCTGTTGATTTTGTTATGTGCACAGTTTTTGAAGTCATACAGCTCTGGATAACTCGAAACAGCGACCGCTAGTCTCTTCTCCTTCTTTGAAATCTCTGTAGTCATCATGACAACACAAACACAGCTTTCACCTCAACGAAAACCCCGCTTCGTTTCGACACTGAAAAAGGATGCGATTGTAAGGACGCACTTTTTTTTCAACTGCAGATGAGATGCTAAATGTAAAATGCACGGATGAAAGGTAAATACAAAAATATGTATAAATTAATAAACAACAAAATCAACAGTTTTCCTGAGAAATCGACAACAATCAATCAAGTTCCATATGACAGCCATCTTCGTTTTGAAGAATTCCCCTTCCACCTCTACTCGTCCTCCTTTTCCAGATGGGTGGCACGGTGGCCCAGTGGTTAGCACTGTTGCCTCACTGCAAGAACGTCTTTGATTCTAGTCGTTAATAACACCAGCAGATGTTTCTGTGAGAGTTTGCACGTTCTCCCTTTGCTCACGTCGGTTTCCTCCCACCAGGGCGGGAGTGGGACTCCTTTTCAGGAGCAGTATTAGCCAAGCAGACATTACATGTCTTAACACTAAGGGCTCTATTTTGACGGTCCATGCGCAGCGCGCAAAACGCAGGGCGCAAACACTTTCAGGGCGTGTCAGAATGCATTTTTGATAATTTAAGGATGGGAAAATCCGCTTTGCGCCGTGGCGCATGGTCTAAAAGGGTTGAGTTTATTTACTTAATGAGTTATAGGTGTGTTTTGAGAATAAACCAATCAGAGTCTCATCTACCATTCCCTTTAAGAGCCAGCTGCGTCGCGCCAAGAGTGCATTCGCTATTTACAGGACGTAAAGTAAGTTCACTTTCGCTTTTGCTCTCGTGGATAGGGAAACCTTACCACACATACATCAATTAGCCTATAAACAATTAATTTCGTTTGTTAAGCGCAAAGTTTTGTTTCAAAACTATTTCTGAATTCAGTTCTAATTTCCAGCAAACGAATAAATGATCAATAATAATGAAATGTGTTCAAAATACGGAGTTATTTCCAAATACACCTGATATGCCCCATATGGTCTAAAACCTGACAGGTGGGCAAATCTAAGCTTGTTTTTAATAAAACAAATACAAATATGCATATAATAAATAATACTGCTAATAATAATAACATTATACAAAAGCAAATTGAATGAACTGAAAAAGCCTCCCTAGATGCAGTGCTTTTTTAATTCATGTAGGCTAGAAATGAATGTTTTGTAATATTTTAATCATTTATATTTATATCCTGTATATATCATTATTATATATATATCCTTAATATTTTATATCTTTTTCATATGTAAAGATATTTGCGTATTGCTCTACATCTTGTGTGTAGTGTGTAAGCCAGGCGCACTTTGCGCCAGACAATAGACCGACTTTGTTCTGGTCTAAAGATCAGACTATTTACAGTTTCTCAAAATAGTAACGCGCCAAAACACGCCTGCTTTTTTTAGACCAGAACGCCTATGGGTGCACATATGAGCGCAAATTCATTTGCTATTTAAACAGCATGGCGCAACACCTCAAAATGACCCTTGCGCCGAGCTAAAAGTAGCAAAAGACTATTGCGCCGCGCCTTGCGCCACATTGCGCCGGGTGTATGATAGGGCCCTAAAAATGAAAAACATAGTAACAATTTACTCAAGTGAGGTTCGAACTCAGGTCGATGGCATCGTAGCGGAACATGCAAACCACTGGACCACAAAATAAGTATGCTAACCACAGTATTACTTTCTATTGATGGCTTAATCTTTATCTCCCCTTTTCTGATCAAGTTATGTCAGATTTATTTATGTAGTGAATCGTCTGATTTTTATTGAGCAGGTGTAATATTCATTAATATTAATTATTCGAATTCTTATATTCACTAAGGTGCCGCTGTTTGGGGTCGAATGATAGTTACATCATCATCATTACATCATCATCATTAACCTGCATGCTGCATTTTGCTCACGGGGCTGAGAGAAAATAAATAAAAAGAGCAGAGCTGCGGCAAAATAATGAATAAAAAGAGTGAGACTATGGTCAAATAAATAAATAAATGAATAAAGTAGAATAAACGGATCCCAGCCCTTACGGCCAAAAAAACGGACTGGCCCACCGGGAATTCTCCTGGTCCGCCTGAATAGCCAATCCGGGCCTGCCTTTCACCATCCAAAAACATGCAAAGTTAATTGACTGATCCAAATCAGCACCATAGACATGCTCTTAGCAAGTAGTTATCTCTTCAGGGCAATCACTATCTGTTCATTAGTAATGTAATGTAATGTAATGTAATGTAATGTAATGTAATGTGTATTTATATAGTGCATTTATTGTGTATGGCCATACACCCAAAGCGCTTCACAATCATGATCGGGGTCTCTCCACACCACCACCAGTGTGCAGCATCCACTTGGATGATGCGACAGCAGCCACAGGACAACAGCGCCAGTGCGCTCACCACACACCAGCTATAGGTGGAGTGGAGAGACAGTGATAGAGCCAATTTGGTGGAAGGGGATGATTGGGAGGCCATGATCGTAAGGGCCGATAGAGGGACTTTGGCCAGGACACCAGGGTTACACCCCTGCTCTTTCACGAGAAGTGCCATGGGATTTATTAACGACCAAAGTGAGTCAGGACCTCGGTTTAACGTCTCATCCGAAAGACGGCGCCCACTGACAGTGTAGTGTCCCCTTCACTTTTACTGGGGCATTAGGACTCACACAGACCTCAGGTTGAGCGCCCCCTGCTGGCCTCACTAACACCACTTCCAACAGCAACCTGGTGTTCCCTAGTGGTCTCCCATCCAGGTACTAACCAGGCTCAGCCCTGCTTAGCTTCAGTGAGTAACCGGTCTTGGGCTGCAGGGTGATATGGCTGTGGCAGCTACTACAGCAGGGGTGTTCTCGAGTGCTACCTGAGCTCAAACTCTTGCAAACAGGAGGGAGCCCCGTGCTTGAGGATCTCATGTGCTCTCTCACAGGACAGCATGTCAAACAAGCTTTATAATCAATCATCAGCTATGTGTGAACTCTTGAAACAGCGTGTAAGATCAGGCATAAAAAACATTGCATGTATATTAAAAATGCAAAACAGCATTTAAATCACACACACTGGTTAAGGAATTATGTTTTTATTCGTTTTTTATTACAAGAAAATTCCACAATGCTATTTTTATATAATGATCAAGGATTTTTTTTTAATTATTGTAATCTCTCTCATTAGGTTCTTATCATTATACAGAAAATGTTATTATACAGATTTGTTCAATGTCTCCTTCATTGCTTGGTCATATTTCCGCAGGAGTGCTGGTCACATTTATCTGTACAATTCAATTTATGTAATATATTTGATTTTAACTGTACATTTTTGTGTGGTTGATTAAAAAGGCAGTCAGCACTTAAATAAGCTGTTGTTGTATTCTTTTTTTTTCATCATCGGTTTATTTAAAGTATATTCAAATAAAATGCTCGCCCGTGACTCCGCCCCCTGGGAGGAGAGGGGCGGGGCTACACCAGGTCATGTGATTATAAGGAAGCTTCAGGGATTGGGTGAGGGGGCGGCGTTCCCCCGACTCGAGCTCCGCCCACCCAGGCGTTTGGCACTGCGCACACAAACAAGACTCACAGGATAAACGACAAGCAAAGCTCTGTGTGATGGCAGAGAAATGATGCGCACTAATGGGAGGAAAAAGGAAAAAAGTGCCACGTCAAATGACACGTAAGACAGAAAGTGCCACTCTCCGGAGTCCAGATTTCAAGTTGTTGTGTTCTCCCTCGATGTCAGAGAGGAAAAAACTCCCCCAAAAGCAGTCTTGTATGTTAAAATGGGGAAATAATACTCTCTTTTTAATTTTTTCTTCTTCTTCCTCCTGGCAGGCACCTACAGTTTTTCTATTAAAATGCTACAGCTATAAGATCTAGCATTGAACACACAAAGCAACTGCAATGAAAAGAACAAAGTTGCCTTAATATAATAATAATAATTAATAATAATAATAATAATGAGAAGAAAAATGCAATAATAATAATCATAATAATACAGAATAAATCTCTTTTTTATAATTAGATTTTATAATTTTAAAAGTTATATTTTTCTTTCTTTGAAATATTTTTTTTTTCTCTCATATGTGATCGAGATGTTGACTATACTTCGGCGTTTTCCAAATCAATAAAAACTAGCTGTGCCGTTGCATATTACAGTCAATGATATGTGAACATGCACCGTGAACCACCCGTCCATCTCTGTCTTTCTATTTGTGTTTCTGCTCATCATAGACGGCCGATGACCATGACGTCCACCACCTCGCCCTTGTGCAGCTCCACGTATTGCTCAGTTTTGGGAGGTAGCATCAGGAGGCCGTTAGCGCTGCGCATGCTCATCAGTCTGCTGCTGACCTGGTTACCTGGAGAAACGGCACACAGAAAAAAGGGTAAGAAAAATACAGTGCTCAGGAAATGCATGCTTCAGTCTACATTTTTATGACATAAAATACATTGAAAATCCACGAGAGGGCGCATTTTTGCGAATCTGAAACGTGTTGCTTAAGGTATGTTTTGTTTTAGGTTTCAGATGACAAATTCACTAGAGGACGGCAATCTTTGCGAATTTGAAATACATAATTTAGATTAAGTTTTGTTGTATGTTCCAGATGACAAATCCACAAGAGGGTGCATTTTTGCAAATTTGAAATCTATGATTTAGGTTACGTGTAGTTGTACGTTTTAGATGACAAATCCTCTAGAGGGCACATTTTTGCAAATCTGAAATGTGTTATTTAGGGAACATTTTGTTGCACATTTTAAATGACAAATCAACTAGAGGGCGTACTTTTGTGAATTTAAAATCCATTATTTAGGTCACGTTTTGTATGTTTCAGATGAGAAATCCACTAGAGGGCACATTTTTGCTAATTTAAAATACATTATTTAGGTTACGTTTTGTTGTATGTTTTAGATGAAAAATCCACAGAGGGCGCATTTTTGCCAATTTGATTTAGGTTATGTGTAGTTGTACAATTCAGACGACAAATCCACTAGAGGACGCATTTTTGCGAATTTGAAATACATTATTTAGGTTACGTTTTATTGTATGTTTTAGATGAAAAATCCACTAAAAGGCACATTTTTGCAAATCTGAAATGCGTTATTTAGGGTACGTTTTGTTGTTCAATTCAGATGACAAATCTACTAGAGGGCGCATTTTTGCCAATTTGAAATACCTTATTTAGGTTACGTTTTGTAGTACAATTCAGATGTAGAATCCACTAGAGGGCGCATTTTTGCCAATTTGAAATACATTATTTAGGTTACGTTTTGTAGTACAATTCAGATGTAGAATCCACTAGAGGGCGCATTTTTGCCAATTTGATTTAGGTTACGTTTAGTTGTACAATTCAGATGACAAATCCACTAGAGGACGCATTTTTGCCAATTTGAAATACCTTATTTAGGTTACGTTTTGTAGTACAATTCAGATGTAGAATCCACTAGAGGGCGCATTTTTGCCAATTTGATTTAGGTTACGTGTAGTTGTAGGTTTTAGATGACAAATCCACAAGTGGACACATTTTTTTTGCATTTTTGAAATGTTACTCAGGGTACATTTTGTTATACATTTCTGATGAAAAATCCAGTAGAAAAATCCCTGTCTACATGTTTGCCAATCTCAAATACATGACTTAGGGTACGTTTCGTATAACATTTCAAATGACAAATGCACTAAAAGTTGCATTTTTGAGAATCTGACATACGTTCCTTAGGGTACATTTCATTGTACATTTTAGATGACAGATCCACTAGATGGTTTTAATGGTCATTTTAAAGCCTTGATGGAATCATGAATTCTAATAAACAACCTTTAATTGTCAACTACAGCTGTTCTGGACAAATTCATTTCCATAAGAAATGTCTGTAATAATAACAATAGATTTGTGACCTGTGCTCTGTGCCCATGGCAGAGGTTCCTGATGGTGCCATGTTAAAATACAGCGGTGATACTCCGGACGCGGATCCAGCTTCACATCACAGGACAACTGGAAACAACACAGGGATTTTTCAATAGATTGTAAATGGATACTCACAATCTACTTACCATTCAGCAAAGAAAACCAAATTTTATACACTTACTTAAGTGTACTTAAAGTATACCTTTTCATAAGGGTTATCACCCCTAATGAAGAGTAAAATAGTGTGACCCTGGCTTTTATTATGGTGGGTTTTCAATTATAGTACAATGGTCAATGGGACAAAAACAGCCCCCAACATAATGAAAGGGTAGTCCATTTGACCAGAGTGTATTGTAGAGTTTTTGAAAATCATCAAATCATTTTCCCAAAATATGTGTCAAAATAAGATGTCATCATCCCATTTGCTGAAAGTTGTGGCCAAATTAAGACTTGAAATCAACCCCAGAGTGGCTTAAAACATCACCGACAGCACATAAGGGTGAAAAATCTTTAAATAAATGGTCCAATAACAAGAAAAGTGCAGCGTAGTTCATTTTGCTAAGGATCATCACCCCTAGTGAAGTGTACAATGCTTTTACCCTGGCTTTTATAATGGTGGGTCGAGGGTCTAATATCCCCTGCATCTTCCTCAAGGCGGGAATGACGAAGAGGTTACACGTTACGACTGCAGACACAGGATTACCTGGAAGAAAAACCCAAATCACACACTAATAGAGGACGAACGGTGAAATGTGTGTGTTCAGTTACAGGCTAGTATATGTGTTATGAAGAAATACACCAATAAACTCTCTCACCGTCCCTACCTGGCAGAGCAAAGATAAGTTTTCGAGACCCGTCCATATCGAGAGTGGCAAATGTTGTGGGGAGACTAACAGAAGACAAACCAGAGCTCAAAACCAGCCTCATTTTCACAGTCTGACACTCAACGTCAGGGTGTTTTCATGCTGCTTTATATGAGAGATTATTACACTTTACTATTATACGCTTAATGATGGAAATGAACTCAACTGAGATCTCTTAGGAAATGGTCTCATCATGCTATTATTGTGAATTACACTTTAGTTTCATATAGTCAATTACGTATTCTTGTTTATTACATGTCGATAGAGTGGTGCACTTATTTTTGGCAATGATTTTTTTTGTGAGGCTTTTTTACAAAATAGTATTAAAGCGATATAAAAATGATAAAATTACTATTAATTATTAATAGTATAATTAATAATTTAATAATAATACATTTAATTAATAATAATTTAATTTAATAATCATTTTATTTAATAATAATAATTTAATTAGTAGTATAAAACGAACAATTTAACGAATTATAATTATATGATAATTTATAATAAATCAATTAAAATAAAATATTTTTTTACACAAGATTAATAATAACATTGAAAGCTATGCAAACACGTATCCAGTGTTTTGTGCAAGAAATTGAAACATTTTTACAAAATATTATTCAAAAATGTCTTTTCCTCCCAAATTTACTAATAATTATTATGAACATAACATAACTCTAATTATAAAAAAATATCATAATATTTATGTGCAATATGTCTATTAATAGCATTTAAAGCTATGCAAACACTGATGCTGTGTTTCATGTGGCAAATTAAGATTATTATTAATATTATATTATTATTATAATTATTATTATTATTATTACAATATTATAATATTTATTAATATTGTATTATTTTTACAAATACAAAAATTACAAAATTATTATAAATTATCATTAATATAACTTGTTAAAATAACAAGTAAATAAATGTAAATATATATAATAATTTAGAAAAATGTTTAAAACAGAATAATTGTAAAACAATAGCATTTAACATGCAAACAGATTCTGTTTTATACAATATATTATTTTTATTTAAAATTTAAATATGTAAAAAAATTACAATTAATTATAATTCTATAAAATAGTTTTATTATTTTTTAAAAACATTATTAAAATGTGATATAGCTAATTTACACATAACAATTTATAATAAATTACTAAAAATAAAAGAGTAAAAGAGAAAATATAACTGTTTGTGTACATGTTTTAAGTTTAAGCTACGCAAACATTGTTTAATGCAAGAAATGAAGACGTCTTTTCACAAAATGCTATAAAATTACTGTTCAAAATAATCTACAAAACTACAATTAATAATAATACTTATTATTATTTAAATACTTTTAGTATTTTTTTAATTATATTAAAAATGTAAAATAACTAATTTACATATGACAATTTATGATAATTTTGTACAAAATTTTAAAACTTTACAAAATACTATACAATTATTATTAAAGGTGCTGTATGTGAGTTTTTGACAAAAGCATTTGATTCTAAAGCATATAAATACCATAATATGTTTGCAGATATATAAGAAACATGCTATAAACATGAGTAAACATTCTTGTTTATCTAAAAAACAATACTGAAGTCAGATATTCTGCTTTGAAAATGTGCGTTACGTGCCGGAACGTCTGTCTTTGTTTTAGTCATTTAACTCACCTACTGCCACTTTAGCCAATTATATTTCAGCACCCCGGGATGCCATGGTATACTTCATTCAGCATATTTCATTCAGTCAGTCAGGAAAGCTCTTAAAACATGCGTCCGTGACGGAAATGCAACCTCTGGTGGACAGTAGCAGACTCCAAAATGAGATGCAGATTCAGAGTTCCTCATGAGGTGGTTATTAATAAACAAATAGTATAAATGTTACGAGCGTAAACATTAGGTGTCCAGGTTACATTGTAACCCTGTGTCCTAACAAAACACTACATGATGAGATTTGCAGTGATTGGGCCGTTTAAACCAGGCGACACACGACAGAAACTGAAATACAGCTATTCAGCAGCACAGAATAGTGCACTCACTGCACTCCAAAGAAATGGTAAGATTTATAATCTAATTAATACATATTAAACCTCTTCAACACGATTAAATGTAGATGCTGAATCACTGATATGTGTTGGTTTGCACTGAGCCACAGTTCTGAAACTCAATTTCAGACGGTTTATTTTATTTTCCAGATCTGAGATGAACTGCTGCTGCTGCTGCTGCTTTCAGTAGTACGGCAATAAATGTCATGTAAAATGCCATTCAGACTCACATTATTAGCATTTAACACTGAATACAGCTCATGAGCTGTACCTGAGCTGATCATTGTCAGCTTTCTGTTGTTCAGCTGTGAGAAACAGAAGCTGTTTCTAATATATCAATTCAAGGTGTTGATTAGGACAAACACTCCTTTTAATATGGAAAATTTTCCTTTTATCGGGTGCACTTGCTGTTATTTAGAAACTATTAGAAACTTAGCGTTAAATCAGTCTTAAATCAGTCTTTATGCTCGATAGTCAGGCACACTACTGTTGGTGTCGTCAATCTGGCAACCTGCGCTTGCGTTTATTTTGATCCAGGAGCGCAATACCTAGTTCCACCACTGGGTGTCAAGCTTACACACAGCACCTTTGAAAAATACTAGACAAAATTACAATCAATTATTTTAATTCATAAAGTAGCTCTATTAATTCAAAATAAACATAATTAAACTACCAAACGTTAAATTTATTATAATTGTGAAAGCATACAAAATTAATAGCATCATATATATCTTTTTATTTATATATATTTCCAAATCAGTTCGTATTGTTTGTATCCTGGAGCATGAAAACACCCTGAATCAGCATTAGGTGTTCAGTCTTCACGCAGACGTCACCTGTTTCTTCAAAAACTCACCCTGGTTTCATGAAGACGCGTCCAAAGTGTATTTGAGCATGGAGGTCGATATCAAGTACCTGTTTCAGGTAATCCTGCCAAAACAAACAATGAAACACATCCTTACAAACACATTCTCATAAACACTGTACAGTCAACAGACAGATGTATAATCGCAACCCAGGCTGATTCTGAAAACGTAGTCCAGCGGACATTTCTGGAGACTGTGAAATACGTCCCGGGAGGTACGTATTTGTGCAGTTTTTGTTTTTCGCGAATCCGCGAGAGGCCGCTGTGCGCGCTTTTTCGTATCTCGAACGTCTCTCGCGAGTGCCGTTCGCGCCCGTGCTGTTCTCGTGTCAACCCACCAGAGGCCGCTGTCTGACTGACCAAATGATTGACTGCGCGACCGGCCAATCGGCTGACCCACCCTCCTCCTTCCCTGAACCCAACCAGTTTTACCGATTGACCCGCCCGCCCGCTCACTTCCCTAAACCCGAGCAACAATTTAAAAAAAGCCGTCTAGAAAAAGAAAAGTCCTCCTCTGTTTTTTTTTTGTTTTTTTTTACCACGTTTTCGGATTTCACCTGAAATGAACTCGTTCACTTTATTTATTAACCCGGAAGCCTTTGTCAACTTCTCCTCTCTGCATCTAAAGTCCGCCGACGCACATGATGAGCTGACCGGACAAACTGACTGCAGCGGAAAGCCCTCCAGACGGTGGTAAGAGGTCAGCTGGCAAGCGCGAAAGGGAATGGCGTCACACCGCCCCGTAGCGTTCGCTTAAAAAAATTAAATGCAGCCATACGTACCTCCCAGCATGTATTTCACAGTCACCAGAAACCTCCGCTGGACTACCTTTTCAGAATGAGCTTGGGTTGTATAATCATGATTAGACGCCTCATTTGTTTAAGTCATTCTAGAGTCCAGCCACTAGATGTCACTTTAAAGCAGTGATTATTAATTCAACTTAAAATCTGTATTTCAAAGATTTTGATGTATTTTTTAATGTATATTTACATGACTGATTTCATTTGTTTGATTCCAGTTACTTATTTAAAATATAAATAGCTTAAATCGGTCACATACTGTAGGGAAATATTTTTGAATATATTTTTACATTTATTCAAAACAAAAAAATGCAAATATATGCAAATATTTCTTCTATAAAAATTGCAAATTTCGCAATATTTATATATAACGTTTAAAAATGTATTTAATAAAAATTAAAAAATATATAATTGCTTGGGAAAATACAATAATTCCTAACATTGGAGGAGCATCTTTATTTAATGTTTAAATCTTTAAAGAGCATCACCTTTCAGAATTATCCATTTAGCTTGCATTTAAATATCTTTATGTGGCAACATTTTAATTTTGAAACATTTATTTTAATATGCAAGCATTAATATCAGGTTTTCATGAAAAAAGAGACTCCTCCTCCTCCTCCCGTTCAGTAAATCCCTGTCTTCATAGTTAATAAGCATGCTGACATCATACCTTGCAATGAGATAAACCCTAAAAAAGCATCTTTGGGAACAAGTTTTAAGACAAAGCTCTAAGCTAATTTTTTTTAAATGCTATTTAGGAGAAATCTCAATAGCAAGGTGAAATGTTTTGTGGATACAGGTCCAGAATTGCGAGATTTAAAGGGCACCTATTGTGCAAAAATCACTTTTATAAGGGGTTAAACCAAGTGTGCCGCAAGCCTGCGTTTAAGTGAAGGTCTCGGCCGTTAGATCGCCCCCTGGGGGCTGGCTGCAGTACAAGTCATAAAGCCCACCTCCTCCATGTTAATGAAAGAGACTTGAGCCCAAATAAAAAAAAAATTATTACACTTGCAATAAAATGTCCCGAAAGATGATTAAGGCACTGGTTATTGTGCTGAAATAGGTGCAGATCTTTATTTGTGTATACAGTTTGTTTTTAGCAGTAATTTAATGCTGGGCGTGTCATCATGATTGACAGCTGTGATTGACAGTTTCTTAAAGCAGCGCGTCTGAGCTTCGGCAGGAGACTGAAGTGTTATTATTTGATTTCTGTGTTATTTTACCATGACAAAATGAGTTCAGCAGTAAACTATAGTTTCTGACATACATGATCCTGGTGGAACACTGTTTATTCGCTAAGTTCAGGGCTTTTTTCGGGCTTCATTAGTTTGCTGATACACGCCTAACCACCCAGATAGCAAAACACAGTTCCGGCTAGTTTCTCGCCTGCCGGAGACTTATCTCTTAGAGCTCAGACTGACTACCTCTGCTGGACCTACTCCGGATGCCTGGACTCACTACCCGATTCCAGCCCGAGTCAATCGAGCCAGATGCAGCGGCCGAGCGAGCCGGCGCTGCCGCATACGAGGCGGAATCAGCCCGCGACGCCGCGAGTAGGTTATGCGCTGCGGCCCGGAGCTGGCGCGATTGAATATATAAAACCCTCATATTTGTTAACGTTATTACATCCATTTGTGTTGATATGACAGCAAACACATGCTGAGAAGTTCGGGGGGCGTGGTTGATTTTACATAAAGCGTTTGGTTGAAAGCTCGACTCCGCTCATTTTCGCGGCTCCTCCTCTGGCTCCATCAGACAGTCCTTCTGCGCATGTCAAGGCTCCAATTTCAGCAGTCTTTTGCGACAGTTTGTGCCCGTCAAGCAGGCGTTTTGCCCTCAAGGCGTTCAATGGGAAAAAGGGCTGTCGCGTCGTCCATATTTTTTACAGTCATTGGGTTAAACACAGTTGTGTGGGAATATAACCAGCATCTAATGGTCAAATTTAATTCATTCTATCTTTTATAATCACACTTGATGAAAACAGTCTGAGAAAAAAGCAGAAACACTTTGATTGACATTCTCCCTTTGCATGTGTCATCAGAGGGGGAAAGCTCCGCCCATCAGTGACCATCTCTCCCTCATTTGTATAAGTTAGTCTTGAATTTGAATCTGCCACTATGCTGACACACAGGCGTTTGTAGCTCCGCCTTTTTTATAAAGAGCACAATCTCATTTCAACTTAAAGTGACAGTCACCAAAAAGCCTCAAAGCCTAAACAGGTCAGTTTCAGAGAGTTATAAAGCAGTATTTGTGGAGTATTTTGAGATGACACACACACACACACACACACACACACACACTTTAAGGACATCAAAGACTTACAATAGGGTCTCCAATAATTTCCAAGGAAAACAAAAACAATCATACATGTAAAGCTAAATATGAATAGTGTATAAAATTGGTCTCACCTTCTCGCCCATGGACACGCCCCCTGAGGTGATGATGACATCAGCGCGATTGATGCCCTCATTCAGAGCATTCAGCAGGTCATCAGGACTGCAGGGCAGGCACAAAACAAATTTTTGCCACTATGCTGACATAGACATGTGTAGCCCCGCCCTCTTTTGAAAAAACCTCATTTGCATTTAAAGCAACAGTAACCAAATTGCTACAATTCATATTAAAGCCTAAAAGGGGCAGTCTCAAAGAGTTTTAAAACATTTGTGGGGGATTTAGAGCTGAATCTCCGTGTATAAGGTTAATTTTGCACCCGTTCTTTGGTCTTTATGTGTGTAAGCTTACTTGTCTCCTACGATGCCCAGGTTGATGGTGGGGTAGCCATGCTCCTGTATGGTGGCCAGCAGTGTGGAGCGGTTCGAGTCTCTGATCTTACCGGGATGTAAATCATCCTCCGGGTTTAGCAGCTGGAAACAACAACATTTACTGATCAGAAACTGCTTATATTGTCACTTTTCCATTCATTTAACAATGTTGTAACGGTAAAACTTTGCAATAAGGTTGTATTAATAAGGGATGAAGTACATTCAGGAGGTTCTTATCACAGAATAAAGCCCAACATGATTATCAGCAACCCAATGCAAAGCAGAGCACTGTTGTGTAAGACTGAAGGAATTTATTTCATGAAAACAACCGCTTGGACGTACTTTATCCTGCTTATTACACGCCTACTTGTCAAAAAAAATGTCAAAAGTAGACACAAAACATTGTACTTGTAAACTGTTACAAGTTTATTCGTTTTTTTAATTAAATGCAAAACTGTCAGAAACAGCTGAAGGAGTATACACTAACCTGCGCATTATTCAGACACAAGATGGCGCCAAACAGTGAAAAACACAAAGCTGACAGAAAAAAGCAACAGCTGATGAAGTATACACTAACCTAAGCACAGTTCAGGCACAAGATGGTGCTAAATCGTCAAAAATACAAAGCTTACAGAAACGAAAACAGCTGGAGTACACACTAACTTGCGCAATATTCAGACACAAGATGGCGCCAAACAGTCAAAAACACAAAGCTGACAGAAACGAAAACAGCTGATGGAGTATACACTAACCTGCGCATTATTCAGACACAAGATGGCGCCAAACAGTCAAAAACGCAAAGCTGACAGAAACGAAAACAGCTGATGGAGTATACACTAACCTGCGCATTATTCAGACACAAGATGGCGCCAAACAGTGAAAAACACAAAGCTGACAGAAAAAAGCAACAGCTGATGAAGTATACACTAACCTAAGCACAGTTCAGGCACAAGATGGCGCTAAATCGTCAAAAATACAAAGCTTACAGAAACGAAAACAGCTGGAGTACACACTAACTTGCGCAATATTCAGACACAAGATGGCGCCAAACAGTCAAAAACACAAAGCTGACAGAAACGAAAACAGCTGATGGAGTATACACTAACCTGCGCATTATTCAGACACAAGATGGCGCCAAACAGTCAAAAACGCAAAAGCTGACAGAAACCAAAACAGGTGATGGAGTATACACTAACCTGCGCATTATTCAGACACAAAATGGCACCTAACAATCAAAAACACAAAGCTGACAGAAACAAAAACAGCTGATGGAGTATACACTAACCTGCACATTAATCAGACACAAGATGGCGCCAAACAGTCAAAAAAAAAGCTGACAGAAACGAAAACAGCTGATGGAGTATACACTAACCTGCGCATTATTCAGACACAAGATGGCGCCAAACAGTCAAAAACCGTGGCGTCACAGACAAGCAGATACATATGAGTGTGTATGTGAGTATATGGACGTGAATGTATTCACTGACAGTCAAGGTGATTCAATGTTTCTGGATGAGTTTGTTCTTCAGTGGTTGTTATCTGGGAATAACACCTTGAAATATCGTCTTCTTTTCTTGTATTACACTTCAAACAAATTGATGCTTAAGTATATTTTACTGATTATATTTGAATTACATCACATCAACGCTGTAAAAGGAACTGTATTAAATTGAAAACTGTTTCATTGGAAGTTTATCAGCAGGGGAAATACAGTAGCTGTCCATATACCCTATTATTGTGAAGAGCGTTATAGACCTTATTCTACAATGCGGAAGTGTGCTCGTTATTGCGATTGTTTTAGAACTTCCGATTCAGTTGCCTATGGAAATGACTAGGAATAATGAATGGCAGAAAACGGTCAAACTACTTGCTCTCCAAAAAAATGTTTGCATGATTTTTTCAGACAAAGCAGAATAATAAAATAAGAAAATATCAGTATGTAACATCAATAAGCGTAACGAGCTGTTAACATCTAAAAACAAAAGGAAGTGAATTAGAGCGGAAGTCTCGAGCCAAAGAGATTCAAACGGCTGTGCCCGCTCGTACTCGAATAATAAGGTGAACAGAAATAAACCTGAATTGAGCTGAATTGAATATAGTGTTTGTTGTGTATTGACCTCATTGCCTGTAGACATGACAGCGATGACGGGAAACTTCTGCACCTCCACCTCAGTGACCCCGACGGTGGCCAGCAGACCGATCTCTGATGGGCCCATATGAGTGCCTTTGGCCAGCACACACTCACCACGCTTAATGTCATGACCGATGGGCCTGCAGGACACACACACACACACACACACACACACACACACACACACACACACACACACTCATCTGACACAAACAGCACTGACATACTTGCACACGTACACATATACACACATGCACATACCCATGCAAGCACACACACATTCACAATGAGACACATTGACACACACACAATCAATTGCACACATGCAGACAATTAGTGTGCGCACGCACTCACACACACACACACACACACATACACTCAAGTGCACACATGCAGACACTCTAGTGCGTGCACACACACACACAAACACGCACATTCAAGTATGTGCAGACACACACACACACACACAGTACTCAAGCAAGAACACACACACACAGAGACACTGACACATGCGCGCACACACACACATACACACACACACACACACTCAAGTGCACATGTACACTCACTTGAGTGCATGCACACACGCACTCGCACACCTACGCACGCACACGCACACACACACACACACACACACACGTACACTCACTCGAGTGCACGCACACAAACACGAACCCACGCACGCACACACACACACACACACACACTTAAGTGCACACATGTACACTCACTCGATTGGACACACACACACACACACACACACACACACACACACACACACACGTTAGCAATGAGACTCATTGACACACACATAATCAATTGCACACATACAGACAATTAGTGCGTGCACACACACACACGCACACACAGACACACTCAAGGGCACACATGCAGACACTAATGCGTGCACACACACACACACACACACACACAGTACTCAAGCACGCACACACACACACACACACACACGATAAGAGACACTGACGCACACGCACACACATACACACACACACTCAAGTTCACATGTACACTCACTCGAGTGCACGCACACACACACACACACACACACACAAACACACACACACACACACTCATGTGCACATGTACACTCACTGGAGTGCACGCACACACACACACACGCACACGTACGCACGCTTGCACACACACACTCAAGTGCACATGTACACTCACTCGAGTGCACGCACACACACACACACACACACACTCATGTGCACATGTACACTCACTTAAGTGCATGCACACACGCACACGCACGCACACGCACACATACGCACGCACACACATACTCAAGTGCACACATGTACACACACTTGAGTGCACACACACACGCATGCGCAAACAAACTCACACACTCAAGTGTACACATGCACACACTCTAGTGCTCACACACACACACACACCTGATGTCTTGTCCTGGACGGGCCTGCACCAGAATGCGCACCTCCAGCTCTTCTGTGCCCTGAGGAGTGGAGCAGCAGTGGACGGTTAATGAACACATGATGAGCAGGAGACTCACAGAGACACAGTGAACATGTGAACAGGTGCATCATCATTACGTCCTCAGACTCGCGCAGGAGCTCAGTGTCCTCCACTTGCACCACAGCATCAGCGCCGCAGGGAATCGGAGCACCAGTCGTCACCCGCATCACCTGGCCGGGCATCACGGTGTGTGTGGGCTGAAAACACACACATGGGTCACTAACACACACTTCTGAAGGAGCATTTCTCACATCAGCGCTCAGTTCTGATAGGTGTTCTCACCTGCTCCCCGGCCTGAGACTCGCCGATAATAAATCTGTCCCCGGGACCGTCAGCCGCTGTCAGGACACACGCACACACACACGCACACACACACACACACACACACACACACACACACACACACACACACACATTAGCAGAACACTGCTTTCCAGATGACACATAGAGGAGGTTTAACCCCTTAATTGCCCCCCCCCCCCCCCTTTGAACATAGACCTGAAATTAGTTTGATCTTAAATGTGTGCACACTAATGAAGTGTTTGTGTTTGAGATGTTTGTGTGTAATTTGTGTGAGTGAGCGTTTACATTTTAAGTTGTAACCTGTTTTCTTGTAGGGCGGCGCGGTGGCTCAGTGGTTAGCACTGTCATCTCACAGCAAGAAGGTGGCTGGTTTGAGCCCCGGCTAGGCCAATTGGCATTTCTGTGTGGAGTTTGCATGTTCTCCCCGTGTTGGCGTGGGTTTCCTTCGGGTGCTTGGGTTTCCCTCACAGTCCAAACACATGCTCTATAGGGGAACTGATGAACTGAATTGGCTGTAGTGTATGAGTGTGTGCAGCGGCGCTTGCAGCCGTACAGCCAACACAATCTCACGGCAATTCGTAACCTTTTAATTTAGTGGCTAATTCGTATGATTTCGTACGATCTAATTCGTACAATTTAGTACGATTTGCTCATCCCCCAATGACAGTTGGGTTTAGGGGTGGGGTTAGGTGCCACGCCTCCTTTTTAAAATCGTACAATTCGTATGAATTAGCTACTAAACTGGCAAAATGTAAAATACTTAAGTTTTCTCGTCAGATCAGGCTGGTACAGCTGTAGGCGCTGTGCGAACCTACCATGAGAGGGCGGGAATTAATGCCGCTTTTTTGAAAATGTATTTATTACATAATTTAAGTGGATTATTAAACAGTATACACTACGATATAGTGATGAAGCAAGAAAGAATGAGAACAAATAAAAGTGTGCGTTAGTGTGTTTTAAAGTGTGTATGTATACTGTAAAAAAAAATCGTAAAAATGAAAGGTCAAATGACTGGCAGCTACGGCTTAGTGGCGGTTCTAAAGGGAGGCCGTTGCCCCCGTGTCAACAAGCTTGGCCCCCCTCAGGCCCCCCTAAATTTGGACACGTATTTGTGTGTCTAAACGCCACGGAGAAGTGAGATCAGTCATCGGTGGCGCGTGCTCTCGATGTCGCACGCACTCGCTCTGCCTGCTTTCGCGTGCTTTTTTGTCAGTTACGGTGCTGCACGCATCATTTTGCCGCATTGACACAGGTAATAAGATTCAACTTCAGTCATGTTCATGTTGTGAAAAACTATCAAAATGTCGACTGTTATTAGACTTCTGTTTTCAATAGCGATTTTAACACTTTTAATAGAGGAAGTCCTCGGCTATGCAGAGGCTATTATTAATCAGAGATTGAGTGTAAGTTAAATAGTTTTACGGTAGGAAATGCATTCTTGAACTTACAAACAGTCGGCAAGCGGAGAACAGATGAAACACAGTGATCCAGTTTAATTTTCAGTCACTCTCATGTAAAAGTCATATTCAACTCGTTTAGTTTTGCCTTCATTCGTTTTTTGATTTCAGTCGTGACATAAAGCACGAATCTTTAAAGGGTCACGAAACACCAAAACACATTTTTTGAGCTGTTGACAGTCGTATATGTGTCCCACACTGCTAAAAACACTATTAGGACACATATATTTCACTAAAAAGTGTAAATTGGTTGTTTTTGCGTTATTTCAAGCAAATTCGTACTTTCTGTTTGAAACAAATTTTTGAAGCTGCGTCACGGTCATGACATAATAGCGTGTATTCCAGCGTGCAGACTGGGCGTCTGTGTCAGAGTGAGTCTTATTACGTCTTACAGTGTTGCATTAATGCATGAGTAAGGCTTGGTTCAAACCAATCAGCGCGCTCTATTGTGCAACTTCATTAATATTCATTACTGTCACAGTGTTTAGACGACAGAGACGCCACGTTGTGTTGGCAAAACAAGCGTGAAGTGTTGCTTTTATAGTTTGCTGCAGTTAAGTTTCGTTTTCATTTTCTCTCTGTGAGAGCTCATCTGGAGTCACGAGTGGATTAACAGTGTACGCGACGCTCGACAACAATAACTTACGTGTCTAAGGAGGATTATTGTTTACCTGAGAGCTGTTCTCATCTGCAAACGCTGAGATCCGGATTCGCTTGTAGTGTCCTCTTAATAGTTGCTGGTGATTGTCGTGTCTCTACAGATTTGGTAAGTGAGCGACCAGCGCTCTTTGTTTATTCAGTTTGTTCGTATCGAACTAACTATTGCACCGAGTGTAAACATGTTAGCACCACAACCAAACTTTAACCTCGTGTAGGATTTTCACCGCATTTTGTGACTGGAATGTGAGTGACTGGAATGTGAGTAGCACAATCGCCTCACAGCAAGAAGGTCGCTGGTTCGAGCCCCGGCTGGGTCAGTTGGCATTTCTGTGTGGAGTTTGCATGTTCTCCCCGTGTTGGCGTGGGTTTCCTCCGGGTGCTCCGGTTTCCACAGTCCAAACACATGTGCTATAGGGGAATCGGGTAAGCTAAATTGTCTGTGGTGTATGGGTGTTTCCCAGTGATGGGTTGCAGCTGGTGCCTAAAACATGCTGGATAAATTGGCAGCCCCAGATTAATAAAAGGACTAAGCTGAAATGAAAATGAATGTTTATGAAGACTGCAGAGTGATGCATAAAATAGTGACTTTAAGTAGTATAATTAAGCAGTTTGTGATGTATGTTAAAGTGTACCCCCTAAAAGTACAAGTGGCCCCTGCCCGGCCCCCCGAGTTACTCTGGTCTAGAACCGCCACTGCTACGGCTGCCAAACAAAAACCATAAAATTACGGTAACATTTCTTTGTTGAAATAAAGTGAAAAAATAACAAATCTACAGATACTTTCATTCAAATGTTTACAGTAAAACACTGTTATTTTACAGACTTTTCCTAGATTATAATGACCCAATCTGTTTAAAAAATAAAATAGATAAAATCCGCTCACATGAGGTTATCAACTATGATAACAAAGAACGCAAAATCTCCACATCTGCCTCACCTCTGACAGCGTACCCGTCTTTAACAGAGGCAGGGAATGGAGGCAGGTTGTCTTTGGCATAAACGTCCTGAGCCAGAACTCGACCCATGCCGTCTGCAACAACGCACATGCACACACAAACACACACAAGTAGGGTTAATCATATATCAATCATATATATGTAGTCAATCTGCAGTTGTACAATATAATTGACTTTTTCCAATGCTGATATTTCCACTGTTCTGCTTTGTTTTGAATGCAGGTGTGTGTTGTTTCACCTCTGTAGTTGATGATCTCAGTGCCCAGAACCGCAGTCATTTCCAGCACAGTGATGAAGGCTTTGTCCATAGAGGTGAGAGGAAATGGAGACATGCGGTGCCTCCGAGCCACTTTGGTGATGTCCACCGCACTATGACCTACAGCACACACAAACACATGTGCAAACACGTACACACAAATATTCGCTTCTATCTTATTTACAGTGGGTATGGATTCAGTATTCAGATGAACAAATGCATATTTTTTTCTTTATTTGGGATCAAATTAATATAATGAGGAGAGATGACGAGCCAGCATCTAAAATGCTCTTAATATGAATATTTTTATAGATTTGTTTTATTTTATTTCTGCATTATTTTTGTTTTTATTTGGATATTTATTTTTAATTATTAGAACCAGGGCTTTACATTAACACCCGCCAACCCGCCAAATGCGGGTAGATTTCAGCTCTGGCGAGTTAGACAGACAATCCCACTAGCAGGCCCGGGTTAAGAACTCAGGGGCCCCTGGGCACATTGTCTTGTAAGGCCCCCTACCTGGCCGCACCCCTATAGTTGAATTTAAAAAATAAGAGTAATATAATATTTTTTAAATAAAATTAATCTATAATTTGTTGCCCACATATTTAAATAAATGATATAGTACATATGTATTTATAGTCTACAAAGATTTAATTTATTTTTCAAAGTATTGAATAAAAATACTAATAAAACTATATATATATATATATATATATATATATATATATATATATATATATATATATATATATATATATATATATATATAAATATATATATATATATATATATATATATATATATATATATTTTTTTTTTTTTTTTTTTTTTTAAGGGTATTTTAATGTATTGCTTTTACAAACTCATAAAGCATATTATTGGCATGGCATATAACGCACAATGCTTCTGCAATCCAGTTCTATGAATCTGAGTTCTATGAATCTGAGTCTTTCATAATACAAACACTGATTTACTGTCTCTCTCCTCCTCTCCCTGTATTTTCTCTACTCTTCTCGTGATGAAGACTTGATTATAAACCTAAAAGTATCCGAAATCACACACACTATACCTCTTCTCTCCCGTCTCTCTCCTCTTCTGGGCCTTTCTCTCTCTCTCTCCCTCTCTCTCTCCTTTTCTGTCTGTCTCCAGTCCGCGCTGCGCTGCCGTTAGCCTCCTCCGCCTGGTTAATGCTAGCTACTCATCATTTAAAGTTACCATAACGTCTTCTTCTGTACCCACCAGGCCCGGATTGGCTAATCGGGAGGACCGGGAGAATTCCCGGTGGGCCGGTCCGTTTTTTGGCCGCGAGGGCCGGTGTCCCTAGCTCCAGAATCTGTTGCTCTCAGCAATCACACTTTTTAAATTTATTTATTTACTTGATCACAGCCTTTTTATTCATTATTATTATATATATATAAAACTCAGTTGTGTCATCATCCATAAAACAGCTGTTGTGGTCGAGCGGATAGTACGCTAGGTTAAGACGCCGCAGACCTGGGTTCGAATCTCGTTAGAGAAATTTAGTGTTTTCATTTTTATTGATAAGACATATAATACTGTTAGGATTGTTGAACATTTGAAGTTCTAAAGCAGCTGTTTTCTCAAAAAAAAAAAAAAAAAAAGACATGATAGTGTCATTAGAAACTGATATGGAAATATATATTTATTTATTTGCTTATTTTAATATAGTCTGTCGTGAACTGAGGTGGGCCGGTCTGAGGCTTGAAACTCCAGAGCTGAAAAGGAGTCCCACTCCGGCCCTGGTACCCACATTCTCCTGATCATGGGTCTGTTCAAAGATGATGTGTATGGAAAATGCCTCAATAAAGATGCCTCCTCTCCTCTTTCTCTCGCGTTTGCTAAATCCACTTGTCCACTCATTTTTGATCCATGACAGATATAACATTACACTACAGTCCGCTCAGTTTTTTTTTTTTCTAAAGTCTGCTCAGTTTAGTGCGGGTTATTACAAAACTGACGTTTCCGCGCTTGACCAATTACAGCATTCTGTTTAGTAAACGAAAAAAAAGGCAGTTTAAATATAATAATAATATTAATATGTGATCGCGATTTTTTGCTCATAGGAAATACAGTTGTCTGAGCAATGTAGTTTTTTGCAGAGAGGGAGGCACCTATGATTAGGCTAAAGTAAACATTAGTAAATACCCACGAGACACTTGTGACTTTATATCACATTTGCATTATTTTAAAAAAATGTTTCCTTCCTGTTAAAAATAAATATATTTCCAATCTGATATGTAATGTAAAAAGTAGCACGAGTTCAGCTGATGGTGGATTCGAACCGAGTTTATGATTAATCTCGTCAAAAGATGATGCTGTGCGCCTTACAAGGTGCACCACTACGGCTGTAAAGATTAACTGCTCTTTACTCTTCTTGTCTCTATCAATCAGGCATCGATGGGCGTAAACCCTGAATTGCTTATTCCAACTAGATGCGCTATTTGCAATTAGCCAAAGAAGACACTCCGAAATTGTCTTTTTTTTCTCCCCCCTCGCAGGGGCCCCTAGTGCGCACGGGCCCCTGGGCCTGTGCCCATAAGGCCCATTGGTTAATCCGGCCCTGCCCACTAGCCACTTTGGCTGGTTGAAAATAATTTTTAAATTGTAGTTTTCCTAAAAGCAAGGTTTGACAATATAGGATGACCCAATATGCGTGCAAATGTGATCTTAGAATCGAGAAGTAAAATAATTGTGATCACGCGAGCAGAAGAAAGCAAGTGAATACCGAATGAGAGAATGATCATCGCTCGCGCTAACAGCTGATGTGATGTGCGCGACTTCTTAAAACGCGTGCTCGCGACTGCTTAACGCGTGCGCGCTCCCGAATCGTGAAGCAACCGTGTCTGGAACAGGTTCTGGAAACGCAACCGTCATCGTTTCTCTTTCAAATAAACTAGACAAAAAGTGATGAACCTGCATCCACAGTCCTGATGCTTCTAAGAGCTCAAAATGTGTATTTTTGTAAGCAGCACCGGTTGCTTTCACTTTGAACAGATTATTAAATTGCCTAAAATTAACCGCGTGCATGTGATCATCCTTTCATTATCACACATGGCATGTTTCACCTGCTTTCATTTACTCATAGATATATACATTAGATGTCGCCTGGCCTATTATTGTCTATTGGACGGAATGCGTCAATAGCGCCGCCATCTTGCTACAGGGTAGCGCTCCTTTGAAATGAATGCGGGACCAAGGTACAGTGAAGGACTTCGGCCATCCAAAGCCAGAGATATACACATATATCTATGATCGGGAGTTTTCCTGGATGTTAGTATGCAATTTTGTTTTTATAATTACGAAAATTTTAATTTTACATCACTTTTCTACATTGATGGATCAGTGACCGCACTGCCATTCCTGACAAAAAGCTTGTGTTTGTGTGTACAGAAATGTACTATTCACCCTCCCTGTTAAACTTGATCTAATCCGTGTCCTGAACACACCTCCTCTCCTGCTTTCACTTCTCATACTGACGGAGGGAGCGATTCGTTTGTGAATGAATCCCCCGAACGACTCTTTCACTAACGTTAGCCGACAATAATACAAGTTTCTGGCAGCGCAGCATCTCGTTGTCATATTTCTTTTGCATTGTTTGCTGATTTTATTCAACAAAACTAGCATAAGCCGAGTGTTTCGTGCGAGTTGGAGCTGCTTTGCCTTATGGTGAATGCAGTAAGTGACTGTATTATCATCAATAACGTGACCTGATTAGCACAAAAGTTCAAAACATACAAAAACAGAAAAAAAAAACTTAATATTACCAATGAAATGTTCTGCCTTTGTGCTTTGTTTTCTTTGTTTGCTCGTTACTACACCCGTAGACAGCGCTAAAGTCCCGCATCTTCACGTAATAACACTGTCTTGACTAGTGCGGTTGAATGACACTTGTGCTGGGAGCACTGTACCAATGTGGCGGCGCTATTGACGCATGCTCAGGGTCCCTATGCGATATCTAGTGTATATATCTATGTCATTTACTTACGGTTTTATTTGCTTTCATTTTTGTTAAAATAGTTTAATTATCTTTTTTTTTTACAATATTGCTTTAATGGGAGATGAACTCTCCATTTATGTGCAATCAACTCCGAGAGATCTTTAGCCACGACAGATTACCGTGCATATTTTTGATACATGACAATAGCTATTTTTTAAAAGTCAATTGCTTTTCTTTCTTTTTTAAGAAATGTTTTGTTAAATAGAAAGTATAGTATATAGCTATATTTTACTTGTTTTAACACATAAAAAATTTGTGCCTAAGAAATAATTATTGTTTAGTGTGGTTATAGGAATAAATTTGGTAAATCGTTAATTTTGCGCTCTAAAAGAGTCGTGTGAAATAAAAACTAATTGCAATATTACACTATGAAACCTTGACCCATTTGCTCATGCTCACTGAGCAAGCTCATACTCGACACACAAAAAGTGAAATGAATGAGGACACATGTGGACTTAACGCAAAATTTAAATAAATTACTTTTAGCATTTTAAAGTCAAATTTATGCATATAAAATATTATATTTTCCCAACAACAAAATTGTGGCTAGTGAAAATGCAGAGTAGTAACAATGGAAAACTACTAGCCACAGTGGCCGGTGATTAAAAAAGTTAATGTTAAGCCCTGATTAGAAGTATATATAATGAGGGGAAATGAAGAGATATGCATATTTTTATAGATTTGTTTTATTTTATTTTTGCATATGTTCAATTTTATTTTAAGAGTTCACACTTGGCTGATGATCTATCAAAAGCTTGTTTGGCATGCTGTCCCGGGAGAGAGCCCCGAGCTCAAGGGATCCTCGAGCCCGGGGTTTCCTCCCGTTGGCAGAGCTAGAGAGGGGAGCCTGAGCTCGGTGGATCTCAGAACTCCCCGGCTCCAGTAGCTAAGGGAACAAGGGAAAAGGGGTTAGACAAGTGCTTGAATGTTATGCATGTTGTGTATCTTTTGATGGTGGGAGGAAACCGGAGAACCCGGGGAAAACCCACGCAGACACAGGGGAACAAACAAACTCCTCATAGAAACGCCCACCGCCCTGGCGGGACCAGGGCCGGCAGTGTTCTTGCTGTGGGGGTCACAGTGCTAACCACTGGGCCGA